GACGCGGCCTGTTGGAAGTAGCCCGCCTGGATCTTCCGTCCTTTGGGGGATGGGGAGCGCGGACAGACTTGGTGGAGGAGGAGAGGTTTAAAGCCAGTGAGCAGAACACTCGTGGCAAGTGGGGCTCCCGCAGATGTCATGGCGCTTCCTGTTCCCAGCGCTTGAAAACTTAATTGTAAGATCAAGGTTCTGGGCTTTCCGGGGCGGAGGAAGGTGGGAAACTCAGCGGGGGAAGATGGCAGGGGTCCGCGGGCCCTGGACTTTATTAGGGGTGGATTGTCTGAGCCCGGAGGGGCAGTGAGTGAGTCTGCTCAGAAACTATTCATCGCTCGGGCTGGTTACACAAGAAGCAGTGGTGCTGGGAGGCGAGGGGCTGACACAGTGTTGCCACTTCCGTGGCTCAGGTTTTTCCCCGAAGCTATTTATCGGAAGCGCACCGGGAGCTGATGGAACAGCTCCTGGGAGCTTGCTTTCCCTGGGCTGGGGGAGGGGGGCGAAGGGGGCGATGGCAGGAGGCTAAGCTTAGCTGGACCTATTTTTGCCTCAGCCCATTTAAGAGCAGCCTCTGGGAAGATTGATTCTGCTTAACGTTTGACACTAACCTGTCGATCTCAGTTGTTGAAAGTGGGGGGGGAGGGGTGTATTTCAAGCCTCTGGGTGAGCGGAACCTCCACCTCCGGTGGTTTAGTCTCATTTTCTTGCTCTAACTTCTATCCCGCATTTTAAGATGGCGGCTGCTTTAACTGGTTCAGGCTTTTTCCGGCATCTCCTTTTGTAATAATATGAAATAGTATTATTTGTTTAATGTTAACTTTCACATTGGGTTGTACACTGCGCTGAGACCTCCTGCTCAATACTTAGCTATCGTCAAACTCTCAGACCGTATTTCCCTTTTTTGTAACTTGTGTATGTGTGATGTGTTTGGTTCTTGCACAATCCAGGAGGGTGGAGTATTTACAGCTAACTTGAAAAAAATGTCATGGAATAAATTCAGCCTTACTAAAACTAGGAGACAGGGGAGGTTGTAGGTTAGAATCTTTTTAAAAGGGTTGTGCATGGAAGGAAATGCAAGTTCTTGGCTTTACTAAAATAGGCCTGGAACTGATTAATTTTACATTTACGTGTCACTTTGGTGTTTATTTGGAAAAACTGCTGTATTTGACGATGAAGTTTTAGATCTTCACTCCATGTATTGATGATTTGATTTTGTTTTAGGTCATCATTGCATTATTGTTGGTTTATGTAAATATAAACTTAAATCTTTATATATTTGAGAAAATGGAAAAGAAGAAAACATAGGAATTAAGGCTTAAAGGATTATTTAAACACCCTTTTCTGTGACCCATTTGAAGGCCAGCAGCACATTGGAGAAGCATAGTTATATTTTACAGAATAGTTAAATACAAAAAACACAGTATTTAGTACAAATCAAAATCTTTTTAATCCATGGGTGTTCAGGCCACTGAGATGTGGAATAATTTCAAGTCCATAGCTTTTTATACATGTGGAACAGAACATTTTAAAGGAGGGTCTCATTGATTTTTTTTCTTTTGCAGGTGATAACCAGCTGCTGTGACACCACTTTTAATGATTTAAAAGCTCTAGAGAGGCATTGTAATGGTTAAGAGTGTGAACTTCGGAGCAGAAATGCTCCAGTTAGAATTCTAGGGCTGGGCAAGTTATCTATGTGCTTCTATAAAAATGAATATTTGTTTAATATGAACAATAGATATTTGAGTGCTTAGTCTGTAGCAGGCACTGTTCTAGACACGGGATGCAACAGTGAGCAAAACAAATTTTAGATTTCTAGATTTTGTTTTTGTTTGTTTTGATTTTAGTACTGTATTAAATAGATTAATGTGTGGCTTTGAACAGGCCCCTGGCACATGACACTCAAATTATTATTACTGCTATTTTATTATCACTTTAACCTTCAAAACTTTTATTAAAGAACTGTTTTTAGCCTAGTACTCTTTGTACTTGCTTGTCATGTAAATATTTTAAAGGTGTGTATAGAATCTCGATATAATGACACCTAACAAATTGGAAAAACTGTTTTTTTTAACTTAGAAAAGTTTTGACTTACGTGTGCTTTGGTTGTCAGCAGTTGCTGTCAGAATTACACAGTGAAACTTTAAAAAGAAATTCAGTTCCAAGCAGAATTTTAGAAGTGGACAATTGTTGAGAGAGGGTACCTTTGTTCTAGAAATAATGAGGTCAGGTAGGCATTGATGTTTGTATGGTATTTCTTGGTGTCATGTACCTATTTATTTTGAATTCTTCTTTGAAACCCTCCAATTCCAAATACTAAGATATATCTTATTTAATGAAGTGCTTATTGTCCGACTATCTAACCATTGATAGTTCATTTGATTAAGCCTTTGAATTTATTTTGTTCTAAAGCTTATGTTTTTACAATATTTTGTTCAAATATTTCTTAGACCAAGCAGCCTTATCAGAAAACTTTGTTTGGTTTTTGCTGTATTCTTTATTTTAGACCAGCTGTAGTATGGTCTAATGAAACTATTTATTAAGCAACAATAATCAAAAGTGAAACACCCAAGTTGATTGGTGGTATTTGGGAGCAATACTGATTTTACTACTCCTATTAAACAAAATAACTACAGTGCATGTGTTTTGGGGATATTTAGAGAACTTGGCATAAAATATAATGTGAACCAAGCCAGCAAACATAGCTCATGCTTTGAGTGTTCACGGTGTGTCAGAACTGTGAAACACTTGTGTTAACTCATTTAATCTTATAACAACCCAAGAAAGCAGGTACAATTATTGTCCCCATTTTGAGATTAGAAATCTTTGAGACACATGTTAAAGAAAAAACACCCAGGGTTATGTCAGAGTTGGGATTAGAACCTAGGCAATCTGGCTCCACAGGGTGTCCTCTGAACCACTACATTGTCATGTCATCCTTTAAGTTCTTGGTATTCAAAAAAGTTTTCTTCATATATCATTCTGCTAATAATAGCTTGGTCATAGTATCTACTGTGTACTCAACACTGTTTCTAAACCCGTTGTATCAACTAATGTAATCTTTACAACAACCCCGAGAGATAGATGCTCTTACCATTCCATTTTATTACTTAAGGGAACAGGCAGAGAGGTTAAGTTATTATAGTCACACAGCTAGTAAGTAACTGAGATATAAATCAATTTACACTCTTTTTTTTTTTAATATATTTTATTGATTTTAACAGCTAGTAAGTAACTGAGATACAAATCAATTTACACTCTTAAACTCCATGCTGTACTGGTGTTTTGTACCATTTCATTTTCTGTTTTATAGTTAGATGAGTGTCATGTTAGTCTTGGCTACCCGAAGTAAGCCCTTTTTCTTCCATTTAGCATTGAAATGGGGATTTAACTTTAAATACTGTGAAATAAATATTTAGCTAACATGAGTTTTTGAAAGTATGATTGAATACCTTTTTGGCCTCCCTCTTCAAGGACTATGAGAACTACCGTGTGCCCAGCTGCTGATCACTTAGGGATATGTTTTATAGTTAGATGAGTGTCATGTTAGTCTTGGCTACCCGAAGTAAGCCCTTTTTCTTCCATTTAGCATTGAAATGGGGATTTAACTTTAAATACTGTGAAATAAATATTTAGCTAACATGAGTTTTTGAAAGTATGATTGAATACCTTTTTGGCCTCCCTCTTCAAGGACTATGAGAACTACCGTGTGCCCAGCTGCTGATCACTTAGGGATATATTGAACTTGTCCCCAGTGAGCCTTGAGGATGGATACACTGTCTTGCATGTGTTTCTTTTAAGATCCTCAAGACTTGTCTATAGCTAGCTAATTTAATTTGTAGGACAGTTGTGTAACTGAAGGATGCTTGATCATATAATGACCTCCATATTTGTTTAATTTGAAAAAGAGTGACTTAACTCTAACACTTTGTGCTTTGGTTTCATCATGTTCACCTGCAGTGTTAATTCTGGTTTTGTTATTTGTACAAATATACAGTTAAAAATTCTTGCTAGCACTAGGGGAAAAACTTATCAGATGTGCCTATTGCTAATTTATGTGTTAACTCATGGGTTCAGGTGCCATTGGTTATCTAAGATATAGTCAATTCTTAAGAATTTCCCAAAGGATTTTACTATACTTTCTTTCTATTAAAGAAGAGAGTAGGTTCTGAAACTGAGATAAAAATGTTTCAGATTAAATTCTCAAATCCTAGATTGACTCTTGTATTTTATTATATATGTTATTGTGTATGTGGGTTTTGACATACATTTATATGTCAGAATGCTTAGCAGAGTTTTTGAAGTATACAGGAACACAGGGTCTTATCAGACTTACTATTTTTCTGTGGAAACAGGCATAATTTTGAAATACTCCCTAAGGGCATTTTTGGAGCCTCCCTCTAGTTGAGAACCACAGACATAGGGGATAATCGTTTAGTCAATACTCACTGAGGTTTTATTCTGGCACGATAGTCTAGTCCCAGGGGATAAAAAATAAGGAAGCCTGTCATTACCCATGAGAATCTGCTTTGAGTGAAGGAAATAAGCATTTTAAACACATTAGATATTTGCACCTCATACAACTTAACCGTTTAAGAATATTATAAGCCAAATAGGGGAAATATTAAAAGAAATTATAAGGGGTATCTTTATTCACATACTAGATTTACCTATAAATTACAGGTTTATCTAAATATTTTTCTCATACTACATTGTCATTGTGATAGTAAGGTTTTTGTTTTCTAACTATTCCTCCTTTGCCAAAAGAAATGTTTTGAAATTAGTGATATCAAATGATTTTCATTTTTTAACTGGAAATTTTGTGTTCTTGATCTGGTTTTGCTATCAGAGCAAAGAAAGTGAATATTTTATTAACCAATTTACTCCATTACGTAAGATCTATTCTTACAACTGTACCCTTGGCCCTATTAGTGGGAAGGGAAAAAATTCTTTTAAAAAAAATGGATTCATTTTGAGAGAGAAAAAAATTTGTTGTTCTACCTATTTATGCATTCATTGGTTGATTCTAGTATGTGTCCTGACTGGGGATTGAACCCAAAACCTTGCCACATCAGGAGAACCCACTCTAACCAACTGACCTACTCAGCCAGGTCAAGGAGGGGGAAAATTCAGTGAAGTATTTTATACTTTGCCCAAACATCTGATTTTTATCTCAACTATACT